ATATTCCTTATAGTTAAGGGGTATTGGGCTCTCTGGGCACAGGGAGTTACAGGTTTCAATCGGTTATGTAGTCTTCTATCGGAGTTCTAGAGGGTTTAAGTTTAGCTACTTGTCCGGTATCAGGGAGAACTAAAGGTGAACCCTTTGGGGCTATATAAGAATGATAATACCCCAAAAAAAGTTAAAGGTTACCTACTCTACTACTTGTAAGTTTAGGGTCCAAGGCTTTTGGGACTTCGGGTTCGCGGTGCACGGTTCTAGGGCTCTTTGGGTTTGGAGTCGGGGGCTACCCTCGGTTTAGGGTTTAGGGTTTAGGGTTTAGGGTTTAGGGTTTAGGGTTTAGGGTTTAGGGTTTAGGGTTTAGGGTTTAGGGCGCTTAGCATCGCTTTGCTGTGGATTCGGGTCAGGAGGTAGTTGTAGCTGGGCTTTTTGCTTTAGCCAGCCGCGCTTGCTTCAGCTCGCGCCGAGCGCAGCGCATCATTTTCTCTCAGGTCTGTGGCATCCTCCCTGAACCCTAAACCCTAAAACCTAAACCCTGAACCCCTAAACCCCTAAACCCTAATCCCTAGTCCCTAAACTCCCCTAAACCCTACACCCCTAAACCCCTAACCCCTAAACCCCTAAATCCCTAAACCCTAAGCCCCTAAACTCTTCCGGTGGGGCCACTGCGACTCGCCCGAAGCGAAGCTGCCTTGCTGCCGCTTCTCTGAGGAGTCTTCGTCCGAGTGCACCGGGTCAGGTCTTAGTATGGTTGGTCTTCAGGAAGAGCCCTACTTCCCTTGACTGAGCCCTGAACCCCATGCAAGCCCTCCTTCTTAAACATGGGAACTTTGCAAGGTTTAGGGTTTAGGATTTAGGGTTGAGGGTTTAGGGTTTTAGGGTTTAGGAGGTTTAGGGTTTAGGATTTAGGGTTGAGGGTTTAGGGTTTTAGGGTTTAGGACTCTATAGCCTAAACCCTAAACCCTAAACCCCTAAACCCCTAAACCCTAAACCCCTAAACCCCTAAACCCTAAACCCTAAACCGTCTACAGCCTCAAAGAGCCCCTGAAGGACGGGCGGGGAGCCTGAGCTCACCGACTGGATGGAGCCCTGGCGCTTGGAGCTCTGCCGGGAGACGCTGGGAGTGGTCAAAGCGCCTGCAGCGACTCGGGGAAAGGTTCGTAGACTTTTAGGGTTCGAGGTTGTGGTCTAGGGCTTTAGTGTTCGAGCTGCGGGTTTGTGTCGAAGTTTAGGCTTATGGTTTGGGCTGCTTGGGATTGAGGATTGAAGTTTGACGCTTAACATTTCGGGATGAGGCCTGGTACGCAGACTGAAGGATCATGACCACCCTCGTCTTCAACTTTATCAATTTCATCAGGGTTGCAAGACAAGCAATGAACAAATTTCGAACACAGTTTTCAGCCAGATCTCATGGCTTCCTTTGTCTCCTCGCATGGCCAGGGATACCCTAACCCCCCAGGTACCTACTATATAGGGTACTAGAGCCCCTAAACCCCTATATAGAGGTACCTGGAGGGATTGGGATAGCTTCCTTTCTTAGGGATAGCAGAACCCTGGATCTGGGAAGTCGGAACTGCTAAAAGAAGTTTAGGGTTCAGGGTTTAGGNNGGGTTTAGGGTTTAGGGCCCCTAGAGGGCAAAGCGGCCTGTCCCCAGGCGCCCGCTGCTCCGCCGCGAGAGGTTCGGAGTCGTCGACTTTTCTGGTCCAGGGGTGCTTTGGGGTCCCTTTTACGGGGTTCGGGTTCCTTTTGGGGGTTAGTTTAGGGGTGTAGGGTTTAGGGNNTAGGGTTTAGGGTCTAGAGCTTAGGGGTTTAGGGGTGAAGGGTTTCAGGCTTAGGGTGTAGGGTGCCAAGTGAGAAGTCGGAGTGGAGTTCTCCCTTTAGGGCTTGTGGGCTTCAGGTAGGCTTTTAGAGTTTAGGGCTTCATAGCGTAATCATAATAAGGAACCCTAAGGAATAATACTGGTAATATCCCGTACTCATTCAGGCTTCTCTGTTCAGGCTTTAGGACAGCGTTTCCAGCATTAACAAACTTCGGTGTATGAACACAACCAGTCATGCCAAATCACGAGCTACTCCTATGGGTCGAAACATAGCATAGCAATGCGCATACTGTTAGGGCCTTAATAAGTAGAATAGGGTTTTGGGGTATAATATACTATAACTAGAAAAAGGAACCCGCAAAATAGTCTTGGTAATTACTTAAGGCTCCTATAGTATGCCCCGTCCTGCGTGAGTTCTTTGACAATCACACACAGAACCCTTTTTAGGGTGTAGGCCTTTCCCTAAACCTCAAACCCAGAACTCTAAACGGTTCAGGGTCAGACTGTGTCGCTGAACCCTAAACCCTAAACCCAAAGCCCCTAAACCCTAAACCCAAGCGTCAAGCGTACCTAGACTCTGGACTTCGCAGCTCCTTCTTCTACTCCAGAGAGTACTACAAATTTGGGGTCACCTCGTTTTGAAACTATAGGATCCTACGTGAAGGACGTCTCAAAAGAATGGTGCTGGTCTCCAGTTGAGGGTAAAAATTAACCCTTGAATGGCGCTCAAACACTCCCTTGGTTGAGGCGCGCTCCTCAAAGTGTCGAATACAATAACGGCGGATCAAACCCTAAACCCAAACCCTGAACCAGAAACCACTAAACCCTAGACCCTAATCCAAAAACACCTAAACCCTACACTGCGGATACAACTCAAAAGATGCTCAGGGGATTCGCCTGGCACAGGACAGCCAGCTCAGCCACGCGGAGCCCTGAGAAGGCCCTCAAGGGTTGCCTTCCACACTGCATCCTGGCTCTCCAAAACGAGGCGCGCCGAATCCAGCAGCAGGAAGACTCCGCCACCAACGTCATCAGCTGGCATGTCGGCGACGGCTCGCAAGAAGGTTGCCGCCTCTCTCGCCGCGAGCATCCCGGATTGGATGTGCTTCAGCTCGGGGAGCAGAATGCCGTCAATGCCATCTCCAGGTTTAGGGTTTATGCCATTTCCAGAGAAACCCTCCCAGCTTCTGGCAGTCTATGGAGAGCATCTTTTCGAACTCTCCGTCGGGCTGAATGCTCAGCAGCATCACCCCTAAACCCTAAACCCTAAACCCCTAAACCCTATACCCTAGACCCTAAACCCCTAAACCCCTAAACCCTTAAACCCTAAACCCCTAAACCCCTGAACCCTGTACCTAGACCCCTAAAGCCCTAAAGCCCTAAACCCTAAACCCCTAAACCTAAACCCCCCAAACCTGAACCCTTAACCCAGGATTTGGAAGCTCTGGTGTCAGCTGTTGGGGATGCTCCTGGGAAGTAGCTCGATATCGTGCTTCAATCACTGCACTGCGTCGGTCCCCGAAAGTCCTTGGGGGCCTTTTGAGGCGTGGGCTGAACAATACACAGCATCCGAATCCGAACTCTACCACACCTGTTCCCGGGTTCGTCTGCGTCTCCAACTTCGCATCTAATAGGCTGCGGCGGAGGTCCTGGCACGCCCAACCGGGGATTGATCAAACTACACGCTTGAGTTACCTGAAACCCTACACCCCCAACCCTAAACCCCACCCAACGCCTACATCCTCAGAATGAGAACCGAACACTTCTCCTTGCACCCCAAATCGTGAACCGGTACGTTTAGCTACTTAGCGCTGCAGCTAGCATCTTCCGGTAGCTGCTTCCTTTTGCTATGAAGAACAAGATGACGAGGCACCCCAGCAGCCGTGGCGATGTATCATTGACTATGAAATCTAGAGAAACATGATATGCAAATCTACTACCCAGAGGGTCCGAGTACCCAAATGGTAAAGTTTTAGGTCCCAAAATTCATACTCTGAATGGTTTTTGGACTTTGAAACCCTACTTTTTGGGGCACTTGGACCCTTAGGGCTTTAGATTCTACAGCATGATGCAAAGGAGCCATCTCTTGGACTAGCTGTGGATCACATCCTTCTGAGGGTCAGCGTCATTAAGCATGGAGGATCGAACGTGCAGGGAACTTGGGTCCCCAAACCCCGGACTTTAGGGTTTAGGGTTTAGGGTTTAGGGTTTAGGGTTTAGGGTTTAGGGTTTAGGGTTTAGGGTTTAGGAGGCATAATATATAGGGCCTTCATAATTTCGAACAGGGCTTTGGGGTGTATTATACAATAATGATAATAAGGAACAACCAAAACAATATAGGCAATTACTACGGCCCCTATATTAGCCTGTCGGGATTCAATTCTGCAGCTTCGGGCTGCTATGGCTTGCAGCTGTTGCCCGGACCGCTACGCTGCGTCGGCCGGTCCTTGATCTAAAGAACCCACCCTAAACCCTGAACCCTAAACCCTAAACCCAAACCCTAAACCCTAAACCCTAAACCGGGGTTCGGACTTGGAGCCCCAAATACCTCGACCCTGCTACCCGAAACCCTAAAACCCTAAAAACCCGCAACCCCAAACCCAAACCCTAAAGCGCTGAAATCAGAAAACCTGACACCCTTAAACCCTAAACCCTGAACCCTAAACCCCTAAACCCTAAACCCCTAACGCTTGAAAAAACTCCGAAGTCTCGGGGCCGAGAGGCCCAAAAAACCTCAGCCCCAAACCGCTTTGAGCCTAATGTATGGGCCTTAATGATTAGAACAGGGCTTTTCAGGTTCCTATTATACTTATAGTACAGTTTAGGGTTTAGGGGTTTAGGGTTTAATGTTTAGGCTTTACCCCCAAACCCTATTCTAATGATTAAGGCCCCTATGTTAGAGATTAAAAGGAAAGTTGCGTCTAGGATTTGTGGGGGTATAGAGGTTTGTCTTGGGGTTTAGGGTTTAGGGTTTAGCGGGGGGGCTTGGGGTTTAGGGGTTTCTCTTCAGGTTTGGATTTAAGGGGTTTCTCTTGGGATTTAGGGCTTTGGGGGTTTAGGGCTTAAGGCTTTGGGCTTCAGTCATAATTACCTATACTATTTTGGAGGTTCCTTATTATATTATATCATACATATATATATGATATTATATTATATATATATAATATATATATATATATAGATAGATAGATAGATAGATAGATAGATAGATACATAGATAGATAGATAGATAGATAGATAGATAGATATAGTATAATGGTCCCCAAAACCCTAGTCCTCCAAGTGCAGCTGCTCCTCTGCGTTGGTGTGCAGCCTGGGAACAGGACCAAAGAGGGGCTCGGAGAAAGGGCCGGATTCTGGGGTTCAGAACTTCAGGGGTCTATTAGGGCTTTAGGGTTTAGGGGTTTAGGGTAGGGCTTTTAGGGTTCAGGGTTTAGGGGTTTTGGGGCTTTGGGTTTAGGGATTTAGGGTTTAGGGCTTCAGGAATCTAGGGCTTTCGATTTAGGAATTAAGGCTGCAGGGCTTCGTCTTCTCTGTGCTTAGCAAGGACTTAGTTCCCGTTTTAAGTGCCTAAACCCCTAAACCCCTAAAACCTAAACCCTGAAACCTAATCCCTATAAACCCTAAACCCCTAAACCCCTAAACCCCTAAACCCCTACGCCCCCAAACCCTAAACCC